TCCAGTGGGTGTCCTCTCTCTTCAGTCTTCAGCTCCGCCGGGAGTGAGCTGCAGACCTCATGGCGAGTCTCGCGATGTCCAGTCAGAGCGTTGCCGCGGCAACTCTCTGACAGGCTGCAGATCGTGAGACACCTCAGTCTGCAGCTCACTCCCGGCGGAGCTGCAGACTGAGGCTGGATCTCGTGCACAGCAGACTGACAGGAGGGGTCATAGACCAAGGACCCGACATATTAGTCTGCCCTAAGGCAGTGCAACATGGAGGTGTGATTAGTGTGTGCCCAGGCACACCCAGCATACCCCGTGCGCACGCCTATGGAGCACTATTAGACGCTTCTATTTGACTCTCAGATATGAAGTGCAGGCCTCAAAATGTACTAATTAGCAGATTAGAAACCAGAAAATTCTAATTTTTACAACTGCACTGTAAGTGCACTATTTGACGCTTCTATTTGACTCTCAGATATGAAGAGCACGCCCAAAATATACTATTTAGCAGTTTAGCACCAAAATAATTAGAATTTTTACAACTGCGCAGTAAGCACACTATTAGACGCTTCCATTTGACTATCAGATATGAAGTGCACGCCCCAAAATGTACTGTTTAGCAGCAAAACAATTAGAATGTTTACAATTGCTCTGTAACCGCAGTATTTGACACTTCTATTTGACTCTCACATATGAAGAGCAGGCCCAAAATTTACTATTTAGAAGATTAGCACCCAGAAAATAAGAATTTTTCCAACTGCGCAGTAAGTGCACTATTTGACGCTTCTATTTGACTCTCAGATATGAAGAGCAGGCCCCCAAATGTACTATTTAGCAGATTAGCACACAGAAAATAAGAATTTTTACAAGTGCGCTGTAAGCACACTATTAGATGCTTCTATTTGACTCTCAGATATGAAGTGCATGTCCCAAAATGTATTGTTTAGCAGCAAAACAATTAGAATGTTTACAATTGCTCTGTAAGCGCACTATTAGATGCTTCGATTTGACTCTCAGATATGAAGAGCAGGTCCCAAAATTTACTATTTAGCAGATTAGCAGCAAAACAATTAGAATGTGTACCACTGTGCTGTAAGCACACTATTAGACGCTTCTATTTGACTCTCAGATATGAAGTGCACCCCCACTAAAATACTGTTGAGCAGATTAGCACCCAAAAAATTTTTTAGTTTTAAACCTGCAATGTGACAGCAGTATTTGACAATTCTATTTAACTTTCAGGTATAAAGTGCACCCCACTAATGTACTATCCCACTAATGTACTATTTAGCATCAAAAGAAATTTACTTTTTAAAACTCCGATGTAACCGTGGTATTTGAAGCTTCTATTTGACTCTCAGATATGAAGTGCACCCCACTAATGTACTAGTTTGCAGAATTCTTTCCTAAGCTAAGCTGTCCCTCACAGCGGCAGCATCCTCTCCCTACACTAATAAGACCTCATGTGCGTGCAGCGCTACGCGACTCCAGCTTATATATAGAGGCTGGGTCACATGCTGCACTGGCCAATCACAGCCATGCCATTAGTAGACATGGCTGTGATGGCTTCTAAGGGCACACGAGTCAAACGCTTGTTGATTGGCTGCTCTGCAGCCTTTGAAAACGAGCCATTTAATCACCAAACTCCAACCCGAACATACAGTGATAAGTCAGTGTTCGGGTCCAGCGTCCAAAACAAGTAATGTTCGGTACGAACCCCAACTTTACAGTTCGGGTTCGCTTAACTCTAAATGTGTAACATTACCCAACACTTTGAAGGACCTCCATGAAAAATGTTTCCCTATTGGATTTCGTAT